CCAACCTCACAATAGATCTTAGATTCTGATCGGTCTTAAGATACAGTCAGCTCAGCAGTTGCCTCCCTTTGTTTCCAACATCCAGACCTTATGGGGTATAGTTAGCCTACACATCATTACGAGATACATGGCTGTCTAAATATGGAAGATGGAAGCCATCAGTACCTTCCAGCATAACACTCATAAACACGGAAAGGGTGTGAACAGGGAAGGGCAAAAACTGAAGCCATGAGATCATAGTTCTACTTTGGAGCCATGGTGACCTTTAAATGGCTGTTGCTTAACAAAAGGCAGCAGCTCAGACTTCACATTCCCAAACCGTCCACCAACACAGCACAGAAATTGCACTTTGCCTTGCAACAAGTTTCCAGAACTTCAAACATACAGGTGATTTGCTTCTTTCCCACAGCTTTCTTGATAAATCAGTACTCTTCTGAGGGCTTTGTTCTGATTATTACAATTGTAATACTGTAAGCAGTAATGACTTGTCTCCTTATTACCTCTGACTAGTTAAGTACTATTTCCCAATGCAGAGATGAGGAAGCCACGCAGTCAGTGGTTATCAATGCAGGGGGCATAATCTACGTCTTCTGACTCAGAGTCCTGTGCTTTAAACAACAGACCATACTTCCTTCTTCAACAAATTTATGGTAGTATCTGAGGGAACCACTTTAAAATAGGTTTCCCCTAAAATGTTTAAAGTAACGCAGCATTACAAGTTATAGCCATATTTAAGCATTACCAAGGCCATTGATAATTTTAGGTTAGATAGATCATTAGATGTCCCCAGTTTTCCTCTTTTTCCTAAACAACCATTATGTACATGTAGAGCACCACTGTTCTGCAAAAGCATTTCTAAAAGTCAGATTTGCTTTCAGTGTGCAAACTGGCTTTTCTGCATGCTTCATGGGTTTTGTCTATGATTTTTAGACGGAAAACTTTTCACTGAACTCTAATGTTCTACTTTACACTTGCTTTCTGTTCACAAATTCTGTGTACAGAAATTTCTTTGAAGCAAGATTTTATTCTGCATTTTCTGTATTTTATTCTGTAGATTTTGGTCATGCTGCTTTATCTATAGCGTAAGGATTGCCCTGTAGCAATTGCACTAATCGGCAAACAGATGGTATACTAAGCAAATCAAAAATCAGCAAAAGGAAGTGGTAAGGCAGCTAGTTGTTCATTTCATTAAATCTGATGGTCCTCATACCTAAGGCTTCACTCCGATCCAACCCCATTTTGATGCTCCTAACATAATCTTTTGGTGACATAGGGACCAAGCCTTTTATCACCATTATCTTTTGACCGTGAGTTTCAGGAGTGATAAGCATCAGTTGCCAAAATGAGGGAATGCAGAAAACAAGTTGTGTGTCAGAAGCAGCTCTGACTGGATCTAAATAAACCATCTACTCCTACTGCTCATTTAGAAGAAAATGTGAAATTCTTGTGACCTATGAATGAAATTTCTCCCTAACGGCCCATAATCAAAAGCACAAGGATGAATTCCTACTATTTCCTTCAAATTTGACACTACCTTCTGTTTCAAAACTGATAGAAAATATTACTCTTATTTTCCTCTATTTTAATTTGTATTTATTAGAGTTTTATATTTCTCATAGCTGAGGAGGGACCTGAACCAGAAGATACATTGACAGCAAACTCAGCTGGGCAGCAGCCATGCTTATCTTTGTGCTTGTAGAGCCGCATTCACAAGAACACTTGATACACCATCCTCCCGATGTTCCAATGCTAAATAAGGAACACACACCTTCAGTCTAAATTCCAGGTGTGATGCGGGTCAGGATGAAGAAAGGAGAGGCTGGAGAAGGGGGAAAGCAGGTCTAAATCCATACTGTAGGTACACTTACTTAGGGTAGGCACTGGTGTGTAGTGGTAATTGCAAGAAAGTTGGCATTCAGCCACAAGCTAAATAAGGATAGTGACTATGTCTGATTTTTGTTTGAGGAGAGGGTGCTGGCAGGACAGTCTAGAAAAGAAGGGCATCGCATGCATAGCTGGTGGCATGGAAAAGAATCTTGTAGATTAAATAAATGCTAAGCAGGAGCAGAAGTGGGGACCAGAGAAGGCTAAAGAGAAGATAGAGGTGAAGTAATATGAACGTAGATGAGATATGAAAGGGAGAGAGATTATGCAAGGCCTGGAAATTGTTGATCTAGGTAAATAATTTTACCTGCTGCATTGTAGATGGACTAGAGCAGAGCAACCAGGGAATCGAACCAGCAGTAGTGCAGTATTTTCCATAAATGGTTATAAGAACACTCGCTATTAGGCCAATTAGGCTGCGGCCTCGAATTTTCCTCAAGTCTCAGCAGCCTTCAGAAATATGCTGTATTACTGATCACATAATGATAGTGCCTGTGCTTGTGTCTCAAATGCACCACATAAAGAGAAAAACAGCTCTTCACTGTCCCACAACATGGTTTGTAGTAATGGGTCTTCATAATAAGCACCAAAAGCATTGCTAAATTACTTTCTTGTACCCTGCTAAAAATCTGTGGTAAAATTATGTCCCACTCAAAAGCATTTGTAAGATTTTTAAAATTTTATTTTTACGGCTTCTACTATTCATATCACTGTGGTTCTAAAAGATTTACAAAGCAGAACAGCTTGTAGAAGACAGCAGCAACTCTCAGTTCAGTAAGAAATAGCTGAGAGGCTATTAAAACGTGTTTCCCAAAAGCTGAAGGTCAGGATAAGCGCAAGATGTATAAATACAAACATATAAAATGCTTTTTTACAATGCACTGAATAAAACTGCTTGCTATTTAGCTATATTACCACAGTCCTGTATACCGTATGTTAGGGTACAGTCACATTCTGCCTCCGGGTACACACTATCTTCGTAAAAAGAGGCAGTGTTTACGTAGGTAATTATCCTGATACAAAGCAAAGCACAAATGTGCAGTGCTATAGATTTACTGATACAAGTCAGGTGACTAGTAGTCCCCAAAATGGGCACTTTAATCTGAATGAGAGTGTTTGTGAGGATGTAAGTTTACACCCTGTTTCCCGTATATTGGTTATGGGGCAACTATGGATAAGGAGAGATGGATGTAATGGAGAATATCATTATCATTTAATCCTAGGCAGACTGCACACCTATTATTTACTGAATCCAATCTTGCGTATAACTTTCTGAAAAATCCGAAGTCATGCATGAGTATTAGACTTAAATTTTGGCACGAAAACTCTGTAATCGACACATTATGGTGCAATGTTTATGGTGTGCGGTTTGAAAAAAAGTTCAGAGCCTTCTTCTGAAAGTCTGTTGAAAGAAGGAAAAGGTTTGTTCTACCTTTGTTCCATGTTGAACCATTGATGTTACATAGTAAATCATTAATTCTACTTTACATATATTAATTCTGGAGTTTTAAATAATTTTTGCCCTTAGGAATGGAAAACAAAGTACCTGTCATGTTGCATTAAAAGCAGAGGAAAAATCAAACGTCTGCTTTTTGTGATAATGGACTAACTTTTGCCTTACACTGCACTTATTCTTGCTATGAGTATTTCCTTGAACTGTCATAGGATTTCAGAAGCCCCAACAGGAGATGGGCAGTGTTCTAATGTTATCACATCTTTAATTAAAAGTTAAAAGAAGAAAGGATTCATGACCTTGAAACACAAGTGTTTTGCAATACGTCCTTCCCCTAGCTCTGCTGTGTTTTTACTGCTTCTAATTTTAAAATAATAAACAACTGAAGCTTAAGTATGTGATTCTTCATACATTCCAGAAGAGAGAAGTGGTTTTTATTTTACAAATTGCTCTTACAAGCTTGGCTAATTAAGCTACCCCCTAAGATTTGAAAGTCAGAAAGTTTTCACTTAAATTCTGTATTAATAATGCAAAGTAACAAAATAGATGAAAGATAACTGGGTAACTTTGAATCTCTTAATTATTGCAATATGGGGTATACCTAAAGCAACAGCTTTATTCTATTCACTTTAAAACATTGCTTGCTTTATTTAAAGCATTGCATTTCACATTTTATAAAGAATTTTGTCTGAATATGTCATCAATTCAGTCCAAATACTTTTATCACCAAAGGACAGAGTAGCCTTCAAAGAAGCAGAAATTAATATTTGTTCTTTGTTGGTATTTTCTGGTATGTAAGTCAATTTTATATTGGTTTTGCCTCTATATTCAATGCAAGGAAAATACCTTTTCCTGTTTATTACATTACAATTACAAGGCTTGACTAGAAAACTCCATATATAGTTTGAAGACTACTACGTTTAATACATTGAAGATATGAAAGAAAATAAATCTGGTTAATTGAGGAAGACCCTTTATAAGTCATCATCAACTTAGCATCAATTTCAATGGTACTTTATATTTGGAGCGTTTCTTATGCTGAAACATAACGTATTCAAATAGAAATAATTTTACAGAGCTTGAAATAGGCCTTGATGGAAGTAGGGAATTGGGTAGTCAGTCATTACACAGCATAACACTTGCCAGTATAGAGACATCATTTCTTGCTACATGGAACAAGCAGGACGGTAAATAAAATCCCGACAGAAATACCTTCTCTTGGTAAGTTTCACTAAAAACCACTGCTGAAATTCAATTCTGTTCTTCGTCAGACTCTTTTTTTATAGCAAGTGAGAGGTTTATCCCAGGAAGCAATCCTCTCTGTTGACAGAGAAGTATTTTATTTTCAGCATTTCAGGTGGCGTGTAAGTCACAGTTCAAATATCTAGGACTCCTTTACTGCACAAAGCAGTCTTGTTTTTTGAGACGACAGTATAAATGTTGTCCCTCTCGCGGGCTGCATACGTGTGCCCCAACAGAGACAAGCTTGTTGCTCGTGTATGAGGCGGGAAGCATCCATCCTTTGGCTGCAGGCGTGTGCTGCTGCTCGTATGCCTGTAGCAGCGGCCGCCCAAACGCGCCGCTCAGCTCTTCCCTCGTTGCTAGGCTATTTGCCACCTACTCACTAATTCAGGCAAACAACAAGACACTGTGCTCTGCCTACTCAGTAAAGGGACGTTGTGGGGTTTTGAGCCAAGGTGAATCGAAAGCCCGATGTGCTTTTGAGCATGCTCGTATGGGCTGGCTCTCTGTATCCCCATCTGTGCGAATTGCCATCGTCTCGCTGCAGACGGAGTCCATTACGTAAAAGCGTCTTACAGTCAGGGGAAAGGATTCGCCATTCCATGCTGGACAGAGCAGAACCACGCTGCTGGAGGGGACAGTATTCGGGGAACAACAGCAGAGGCCAAGGCTTAATTTTAGGTCCAAGGAGGATGACGAGCATATAAGGAGGAAGGCAAGGACCTGATTTAAAAGCTGTAAATTCAAGGTTTCTCCTTCTAACATGGGAATTGAATGAATCGTTCCCCAGGAACGCAGTCCAGGAAGAACACCTGTGGTCTTCTGGAAGCAACCCACTCCGGTGAACAACAGTCTGAGATCTTAGAAAAATGGAAAAGATCAAACAAAAGACAGAAGACTCTGAGACCAGGCTTGTTCCATGGTCCATGCAGGGAGGATTTTGTGACTTTTCCCAGTCCAAAACTTATGCACCTTAATGCACCTACTGACGAGCTTACGAAGAGCCGCCTCTAATAACAATATAGGGAATCCACTTCTGAAAGCAGTGAAGATCCTCATGTCCTGCTGTTAAACTTGTCTGTAATATGAGGTTTTTATCTTACACATTCCAAATATAATGAATCAGAACAAAGTTTCTCTGTTACATAATACAAAAAAATGCCAGTACAGGCAGCTGTTTTGCAAAGCTTGGTCCAACCACAAAAATTTGGGGATAAAGAAATGGCGACAGGACTTGCCGCCAACACTGCCAGAGGATTCCTCCTAAAAATGCTTGCTTAGCAATGTTCAAAGGAGAAAGGATAGATAAACTTGCACTGGTGCAGTCTACAAAAAGTAAGATGCAAAAAATGTGGTTTTATCTTCTATCTCATCATACTGCTGGCTCTATATGGCCGTATGTGGTGCAAGCAGGCAACAAAATCCAGCATTAGCAGTGTCCTTTTGAACAAAAAAGGCAAGGGGAGGATGATTTGATCAAAGGCATTTTTACCATACATGCCTGTTTCTGTATTTTTTCTTCATCAAAGGCGGTAACTGCGGCTCCAGTTGCTTCTAATTGTGGTAGGACATCCATAGGACATCAGTCTGACCCAGACATTAAAGGGGAGAGTTTGAGAGACACTGGATGAGCCAGTTCGTGTTGTGAGACTGCACTTCAGTCAACACCTTTGCAAAAGTTCCATAAATTAGGGCAGATTTCAGTGCACTATTTGTTGTATATGATTCATCCCAGCACGAAGTGTCTGGACATGGCTTGACTAATGCCAGTACCTAAAATGTTACTGTATGGAATTTAGCATGCAAATTATGTGCTACAAGCTCAGGAGATTATCCCTAATACTTCATGAATTCTCAGGTCGCGCTGCCTGATGTTCCCTCTGAAGGTCCAGGAAGTTCTTTACTGTCATATACATAGACTGAAATTTTTGTAATGACTCACTTTTAGAGGGAGAAAAATCCATTTTCTTAACTGGTATTTTCTTCTGCGTAATCAGACATTCAGCCGATTTCTATATGCAACATTTCTTCCATTCACGCTGACTGGCATACACTGTAATGTTGTGTTCCTTTCAAAATAGTATGCCTAGCAACTTAACACTGTTTCCTCTCCTTTTAGATACAGAGATGTTGACATACACAAATAAGATATTTCAGGCAACATGAGACAGTATATTCCTGCTTCAAATATTATGTTTAAATGAATGCTTAATTACTACCCATTCTCCATGCAAGCACTGACAGGCTTCTCAGCGGTCACTTTTGCAATCAGCTGGCACTACCTAACAAACTACTTAGCTAGGAGTTTGACGATGACTGGGCATAACTAATATTAAATTGTCCTTGGAATCACTCTAGGTACAGGAAATGAATTTCACAAACAAAAAAAGTGAAGACTGACCGCTTCTTCACCCATAGAATCCTTCGTGCTTCTGTCACTCTGATAACACCAGATGTGCAGGTGTCTGTCCCCTTTCAAGCTTCTGGTTTTGTGTATCCTTTGTGTACCCCTATGCCTACATTTGTTTCTAGCATTTGCTTCCTCCACTTTTCACAGGGTTCAAAAGAATATGCTTTGGACTGCTTAGCTAGATGTGAGTCAGCACAGCAGGTCAATTCATTTTCCCATGGCATGTTTTGTTCCACCTCGTGGCTGCCGTTTCTTCCATTTCGACCTTACCAGTATTACCTGCTTGGCATGGCAGTTTATCAGTGACTAACGAGCTACCTATTTTCAGGGATGAAACAGCTAAAGAATTTTTTCTCTACTATGTAAATGATTCAACATGATTTTTCATTCAACCTACCTAGAGTTTATATGCTAATTATTTAAATGTTCTGTTTTATTGGCCAGAAATGTATGCAGTGATTCAACGGTAACCATCTCCATTTGTGTAAAACGCATATAAGGTCTAAATACACTCATATCGAAATATGTGCCCAAAAAACAGCTCAGTGAGAGATGGGAAATTTTGCTTGTGATGCATTATCTGTTAAGAACAAAGATAGAAGTTAAAGATGAAACCTTAAGGCTCACCAGAAATTTTTTTCAGAAGTGCTATAGTTGTACCCAGTCATTTGCACTCTTGGGCTGTGACAGCATGGCAGCACTGTATCTCATCACTGACAAATTAAAAGTTTGCTCCAACTCATTTCCCTGCCTGTTTTCTCATATACTCACACAGAGTAATAAACCATGTTTGAGAATGGCATATTAGCCAGGTTATCTGCAGGGAAATAGAGGAATTAAGAATGGTAACTCTTTAGGAAATGGAAAAGGGAATGCTGTAAAGAATGGAGGACTGTGGGCGATTATTGCAAGCTGAGGTGATGACTCAGAATACCTGTGAAAAAGCATCACGCTTGGGGTGGCCTGATTAAGTTGAGTGCAAAATGTTTAGGGCTTTTACATATTCAATGAGGAACACAGGGAGTGTGGTTTTGTTTGCCATAATGCCTAGTAAATAACTATACGTGCATGTAAGGGTCTTTGCAAAGATTTAGGAATGCTTTGTAAATGTTAAGTTAGGCTTAATAATAACTGAAGCAATTATATATTAATAGACCTATCTTAAATATACTAGAGAAGTTATTTGCCAGAACTCTCATGTCAGGCCCAGGAGAAGAACCAGGGATTTCTGTTTCAGTAGAATTCATTAACATACCATGCCTTTAGCTGTTTCTGTCTCTCTCCTTCTCTTCACGTTCCCGAGAAGAGGTCTTTCCCAAAAATGAAGAAATTACCAGGCTGATAGTATTTGCTAAAGATCTTTCCGTGTGTGAGCAAGCATGAAAACAGTTTGAGGTGTGGCCGAGATGTTCTTTAGAACTTGTCATGCATAGTGCTGAAAAGTCCTACGGGAAACATGGCAATTACGGTACAAGTTAGGGCAACTCTTAGGGTAGCTGGAATTTTTCCAGGGACCAAACTGGCCTGTGGCAGATTTCAGAATGGAGATTAAGTACGTATTTCTTGCATTTGCTTTCTGCTCACCTGAAAGGAACTAAGCTGTCTGACATCATCTCAATTTTCTAGTGTTGTCATTGTTACTGTGCTGCAGAGGAAGAACACAGCTGCATGAATTACTGTACAAGCAAATAAAAAAAATGTTGTCTGAAACAACATACAGTTGTAAAGAGCCAACAGATGAGGACAGCTGGAAATGTACACAGTTACAGTGTAGAGATTCCTGATGTAGCCCCACCAGAACTCGTTCGCAAAGCAGAAGCCTCGAGAAGCACTGCCCCGAGCCAATTAGCTCTGCATTACGGCGCAGAGGTAGCCATCACACCATACTGTACAACCCACAACATTGTGACTATCAAGGAACAAAATGCACTTCTTCCCTTCTATCCTAAAAATTCACTTACAGAAGGGAATGAAAGAACTTTTAAAAACAATTACCATGTAAATCATGTTTCTACCCTTACACTCGGCACTAAATAAATTGGGGATACTGATACAAGTGATAGGGAGCTCATTTTTTCTAGCCTCAAGATAAAGCTAAAAGTAATAATATTCATGCCACGCTTTTGGCTTATTTCCTGAGAGGAAGAGTGTATCTCTTGAATCTACTACCAACTGCAAATGCCACGCTGACAAAATTCATCTCTCGGTGTCAAAAGGTTACACTGTACAAAGCTGTTACGTATTCATTTCGTATTGGATTTTCTCCTTGTTGCAGGATCCGCTCTCTACTTTATGACTACTGACACGTGAAATAAAATACAGTGACCAGAACGCTTTTGAAATTAAGTCAGATTTTATTGTCTGATGGACTTTTGTCAGAGTGGGGAAAAAAATAGAGCTCATAAAACCAAGTGCTAGCTAGTGGTTATGGAAAGAAAGTCAATCTGCAATTAAACTATAATGGTGGTACATTAAGTAGGAGTGAGTAATGGTAGCTAAACTTAATTAAAGCTGGAAATATCTAAAATATCAGTAACAGTTTTATACTGAAACCATATGATGAGTTTTGGCTTGATTACTCTCAGAAGGCTGTACAACCCTTCAGGCAAAACACCTGCTGAGATCTATATGCTTATGAAGAGAGATTACAGGCACATTTTAAACCTGATAAAGACTGTCTGGATTCAAGCAATGATTGCACAGCCATTGCCCGGTTCTGTGAGATACCGTGTGCATTCTTTTGATGGGGTATGCCTCCTTGTGGAAAAATACTGTTTGGATTAAATATTCATTTACATGGACTACTGGACGCAATTATGGCTTGGGAAAACTTTTTGTGATAGCTGCGTTCTTGGCTTTCCGTGTAATGATCATGTCTCGGCATGGAAGGTACAGAGTGTACTTGAAACTGTGTTCTGTGATCTCGGCTGCTACCGCCATGTGAGACTGTACACTGCCTGAGGCCAGGCACCCCCTCCGTCCACTGCCAATTCTTTACACGCACTCCGAGGCACTGAGAGCGTAACCTAGTTCAGCTATCAGGGGATCCTCCTCACGCGTCCACCAGTCCGTGCAATGAGGAGGCCTGGGCTGATCTGCTCTCCAGCGCTGCTGCTGGGACAAC